GGGGGGTGAACGTTATCGTTGTCTACAGGATTAGAAAGAATACTTTCCAAGTTTCGAGGATGTAGGACCACGAAGAGACCATGATCGCGCGTTTGCAGTTGAGTAGTACTACACCTACCACCTACTACCTACTACCTACTACCTACCTACTACCTATAGTAATATTACACCTACCGTCCCTATACTAAACTACCACCCTCCGGCATGGACCGCACTGACCACTGACCACTACTACCTGTAGGACACATAGACTGAGGATGTGTACCGTAGTATGTTAACTTACGGGATTGGCGATGCAGATGCTCCTGGATCTGCTTGGCTGTTATCAGCTGGGCCTTCACCGCCGGCGGCGGAGCATGTCATTCGTCTCTTCGGGTTGTCCCCTCCCCCGGGAATTGTGTTCGTTAAGCATGCCGCACACGCCTGTCCTTTCTCGATTCCCGCGTTCCCCATTTTCTCTGCGATTGCCGCCAGCATGTCTCCGTCCGAGGTGGTCCCCGTCTTAGTTACCTGCACAGTCTTGATGTTGGCGTTGTTGTTGCTGTCGTTCTCCTGGAGCAATCGCCTCCCGCTAGCTGGGGCGGTGTGGTTGCAGCGAGGTTTGGGCTTGCAGCAGTCCGTGGGGTCGCTCGATTTGCATCCCCTGAAGTTGGACAGGCAGGACGTCACGCAGGAAGCACCGTTGCGGGGACACTGCTGGTTGCACTGATGGTTGTACCAGACGCAGATCTTTTGACGCAGCTTGATTGCCACGTACGCACGGACGTACTCCTGCATAACGCGGCTCGTGGTGAGAGCAGGCCAGCCCTCGCCGACCAGCTTCTTCTGTACGTAGTCAAACACTTTCTTTCCCTGCTTCACCGAGCAGTCGTGCTCCAGGTCTAACGACACATTAGGACCGCCACAGCTCCAGTCGATGGCCTCGACCTTCGGCCCGCAGAGCTTCCGTTGCGGCCGAGCTTCGATCAGAGTCGGGGTGAGGAGCAGGAACAACGCCGCCGCAAGCGTGACCACCGCCAAGCGAAGGATCGCAGAGGACGCCATCGCCGTCCCGACAAGGTCAGCACTGACTCAGCAGACAGTAGTAGGAGAGAGGGAGACAGAGAGACAGAGGAGAGAGACTGGCAGAGAGAGGAGAGACTCCGAGAGAGACTACGTTATAGTGTGGTCGTGCGGAGAAGAGGGGAAGTCTTAGAGAAGTTAGAGGAGTATCGAAACACGGGTGACTCGCTCAGGAAGCCGCATCACGCAGCTGCCGCTGTCAGAAGGGATCATACTTGAATGCGTTTGAGACAATGTGAATGTGCTCTTATAGTAGTTCGACGTACAGACTGATTGTCTAGTTGCAATTTTGCACTACTACTTGCCATCCGCCACGAAATGTGGAGGATGAGTGGAGAGTGAAAAGAAGTGAAAAGAAAGTGAACGAGTGGCAAGGTGGAGGCGACGTTGGTGGGCTACACTGTGCACTATTTTACTTACGTACAAAACGTGACAAAAGGCAAGAACTTCGTTAGGCCCGTCTTCACCGGAATAGAACGCCAGCCTGCCAGGTCATGATATCTGTATTTTTTGGCACAACTTTCGATCCAGATGCAGCAGTAATGACCAGGCGTTCTATTCGGGTGAAGAATGTAGTCTCCCTCCCCCAAGGTTGGGAACAGGCCGAGAAGTTGTTGTGTGAAGGGGTCACTAGGTGGACCCTCCACGAAACAGCAGTAGTGAGTGCTGCGGGTGCGGAAGTCGACACACTCCCTGGCAGATTGAAAAAGAACACCTGAAAAAAAAAAAAAAACCTGGGCAAAGCTATGGCAGTTAATTTCCCACCAAGTTTGGCGACTAGTGCACTTAAGCCCCTACCTGCCAAACTTGGACTCTTGGACGATGGCGAGTAGTGCAACTAGGGGTCACTAGGGGTTGCGAGCACTACACTAGACTCTGGAAAATTCGAGAGTTCTGCCTCCCTCCACTTACACTAGACAAACGGCTCCCAAATGTGTGTAGAGTGCTGTCAGAAAGTGTGCTAGACCAGCACTTTCTACTCCTCTAGTGTTTGCCTCGTCTACTGTTTGCCTCGTCTAGTGTTTGCCTGGCTGCAAGACCACTTTCCTCAAGGGTCCTGGGTGCTGGTCTGGAAAGGGTGCTGAAATTTGAGAGTCCAACGTTCCAACGTCCTTTTGTGGTGTTTGCCTGCCTGCAAGACCCCTTTCCTCAAGGGTCCTGGGTGCTGGTCTCCAAAGGGTGCGGAAACTGGAGAGTCCACCACAAGTCTGGGTGGACAAACCCCAGGCTGGCGGTGTCCTTTTGTGGAATCCGGCTGCTGCTGTAGACCGTCCAAAGTGCAGCCCCATGAATATTTCCATGTTGTAGCAGAAGGTTCATTCTCAATTTGCAGATTTGGCCAGTGGTTTCCTTCACTCCACTACACTAGACTCCACTTTAGAGTGTTAGAGAGTCCGTCAAGAGTAGAACCCTCTAGTGTAAGTGGAGAGATGCCTACTTTTTTGCTATTTTCTAGAGTCTGACAACTCTAGACTGACTCTAGACTATTTTCTAGAGTCTAGTGTAGTGGTCCTAGTGGAGCGAGACCCTAGGCCCTGAGCTTGCGGCCAGGAAAAGGGCCAGTGCTCCCAAACTCAGGGCATAGGGTCTCGCTCCACCACTCTAGAAACCGGCCATTTCTTGAGCGCGGCACCGCTCCACTTACTCTAGACGCCAGGTCTGGAATTCGGGTTCTTGAGCTGTCAGTATCTACTCACTAAAATGGAGAGAATCCGTCTTCGCTCCACTACCTCATGAAACACACTCACGAAAATGCATTTCTTGAGTTGTCAGAACCTCCTCTCCCGTGGCACTCTTGACCATTCGAGAGCTCCCGCCTGCAGCGGCAGGAATTTCAAGGGAGGCATCCAGGGCCTTTGAAAGTTGAGCATTTTTATGGAGTGCACCTGGAGTCTGGGAGGACAACAGCGTGCTGGCCGTGTCGTGTAGCTCTCTCAAAGAGCAGTCTGACATCCGAGAGGCCTTCTTGAGTTTGACCTTCTAGAGTAAGTGGAGCGACGTTCTCTTTTTCAGTCATTTCTAGAGTCTGACAGCTCTAGACTCACTCTCGGAAATCTTGGAGAGTCTAGAGTGGTGGAGCGGGACCCATAGGGTCTCCCTCCACTACAGTAGACTCTCAAAAATTCGAGAGTAACTGTTCTGCTTCTCTCCACTTAGTACACTAGACAAACCTCTCGAAAATGTGCGTGCCAGTGCATCCAGTGCTGTCAGAAAAAGCTCCAGATGCGCACTCTCGACTCCTCTCAAGTACCCCAGCCTACAACACCCGTTTTCTCTAGGGTCCTCCGTTCCGGCCTCGAAACAGTGCAAAATTTCCGAGTCTACCGTCACTGGGTGGACAAACCAGGCTGGCGGTGTCACGTTGTGGAATGGGACAAACCAGACTGGACTCTGGACTGTTCAAGTGCCCATCTAGAGTAGCACACCGTTTTTTCTAGGGTCCTCGGTTCTGGTCTCGAAACAGTGCAAAATTACGGCAAGTCTTGGTGGACAAACCAGGCTGGCACTGTCAGGCTGCAGAATGGGAAAAAACAGACTGGACTCTGGACTGTTCAAGTGTCTGTCTAGAGTAGCACACTCTAGTGTTAAGTGGAGAGAGGCCGACTTTTTTATGTTTTCTAGAGTATGACAACACTGAACCAACTCTAGACTTTTTCTAGAGTCAAGTGTACTGGAGGAGACCTTATGACCCTCCACTAGTCACCAAATGTGCAAGATGAGAATGAATACTCTGCTAGAACATGGGGAAGATGCACTGCCATATTTTTGGTCTTTTGTGCCTCAGGTGAGTAGTGGTGACAAGGAGACAATCGAAATCACATCAATAATCTCTATTATTGATGTGATGTTTTTCATTATTTTTGGACGTAATTTGGGTCACATACATCCAGCAACGGCCGTAAATGCGGTAGTATACACATGTAAGATAGTGAAGATACATGTAAGATAGAGAAGATAGAGCTAGTGGGAGTAGCCCCCCTTGGACGGAATAAAGGGGGCCCGTGCTTTCTCCGATTGTGAATTACCTGCGGGCAATCAGTTCAATGATTGTATCCGTTTTATTTTCTGTTTTTTTTTTTTTTTCCCCATTCTTTTTGTCTCTTTCTTCCCTTTTCCTTTCCTGTCTTTCTCCTTCAACGTCAGGCCCATAAGCGCCGAGTTCCCGCCAAAATGCTAGATTTCCCGCCAAAATTCTAGGAGAAATGCCGTCTTCCCCAATTTAACCAGGGGCTACGTCCCACTAGCCAAGAGGATTGGATTTAAAGGCAGAATGTGGACGTATTCATGGCGAGGTGCAGGAAATCTCGACTGGACAGCTTTTCTGCATCTACGCAGAAAACATGTCCAGATTCAGGAGCTCAATCCAATCCTCTTCGCCAGTGGGACCTCGGCCCAGTCCTGTCGTGTGGAACAAAAGTTCCAAAAAAAGCCTCCACAAGTCAAATAGGCGGCAATGAAAACCAAAAAAAAAGAAAAAGAAATAAGCAAGGTGGCATAACACTAGAGACGGGACGTCGTCTTGTTTGAAGAGTACGTGTATTTGACTTGTCAAATAATAGGCGCCAAATACGGACTGACCTAGCCAGTATTTGGCGCCTATTATTTGACAAGTCAAATACACGTACTCACTGCAGCACTATAATAAATGTATAGGGCCGCATTTACAGACCTACTACCTGTATGCATCTGGCCGCAATTCCGTCCATTACTGAGTCTGCAAGTGTGAGTGTGCCCCTCAGTTGGTACACCTACGAACTGCTGAAATGCAGACTGCACACACTGAAAAGGGGGAAATAAAATGACCGGGCCGGTAGCACTCCTATGAAGGGCTGCGCTACCAGGCGTACTCACTGTCCGGAGACCGCAGAGGCAGGGAGGTGTGGGATTCGGGGCGTGGGGCCGAGGTGTGGGATTCGGGGCGTGGGGCGGAACGATGTCTTCTTCGTCCATCCCTAGGTTGGGCCATCGCCCTCAGCTCCGACAAGGGGCTGTGTGAGAGTCTAGTCCGGGACAGCGGCCACATCCAACAGCAGCACCTCTGGAGGTATTGGGTGGGCAGCCGGAGGTGGTGGGACTGGTGTTGGGAGGAGCACGTGAGAATGACTATTGACTATCTCGACTGGGAGCGTGAAGACCTGAACCTCGACCGGCGGTGCCACCAATGGCAGTGGGAGTTCCTCTGGTGGTAGTGGGAGCGTCTCCGTTGGGATCAAGGGCACTGAGCATTAACCAAGCCACTCTCTAGCACGAAATATTTAGAGTGCATTAGCCTAGCTATAATTTTTGCTAAATACTCCTTAGGGTTAATTTCAAAAATATTGCTGTTTCGAAGTTTGGCAGCAAAAATGTAGTCCGTTCGAAGTTTCCTTTGCAAAAATAGAGGTTCCGTTGCAGCTTTCTCGGGTTCCGGTAGTTTGCCAGCAAAAATACCGCGTTTTGCCAAGTTTCACAGCAAAGGACCCCTAGGCCACTGGCCTCAGGGACTCACGGACTCAGCCTTAGGGCCTCAGGCACTCAGCCTTTTTTTTTTTTTTTTTTTTTTCCCCACAGGCGTGGCCGAGGCATCTCGGCCGTGGCCACGCCGAGATGCCTCGGCCACGTTTTCTTTTCTTTTTTTTTTTTCTTTCGCGGCCGTGGCTGAGGCATCTCGGCCGTGGGCACGCCCAGATGCATCGGCCATGTGCCCCCSCYCCCCCCCCCCCCCCMMAAAAAAAAAAAAAAAAAAACCGCTGAGTGCCTCAGGCCAGAACGCTGAGTCCCTGAGTCCCTGAGGTCAGAGGTCAAGGCGTCCTTCGATGTGAAACTGGCCAAAACGCGGTATTTTTGCCGGCAAACTATGGGAACCCGATAAAGCTGCAACGAAACCTCTATTTTTGCAAAGGAAACTTCGAACGGACGACATTTTTGCTGCCAAACTTCGAAACAGCAATATTTTTGGTATTAACCCTACTCCTTATGACTGGCTTACTTCATGACGGTCGTACACGATGATATTTGGAATTAATTCCCCCCTCTTCTCTTTCAAGCACTTCCTGCTATGTGCTTTGGTGTCACTGGCAACCTTGATGGTATTTAGTCATTAGTATTCCTTATCTGGGCGTATGTTTCTTTTGGTGCATTCTCTCTTTTAAATTGTTATTCTGATATGCAAACCCTTGAGCAGTGCCGTATTTTACTCATACTCTGCGTCCGGTCGTAAGGTTGGATTCAGGCAACCCTCCATTCCTATTCCCATATCTGAGCCCATTCAGGCAACCCTCCATCCCTATTCCCATATCTGAGCCCTCGTATAACATAGTAATTCCAAAAATTGCTCTAACGTTTATCTCACCGAATCTAGAGGCTATTTCAAGGAATCTCCACTGCGGGTTCTGGGCTTTAGTTTTGGTTGGTAAGTGTGGAAGGTTGGGGGTTGTTCATAGAAGGCAACGGAACTATTGGAGGTGGTGGGAGACCTAATAGTTGTGGGAACGTTGCTGACCTACTAGGGCACGACTGAATAGCATTTAGCTGTCAAGAGAGCAAACTTGGGTTGTACCCATTGAGATCCAGGGTGCCTGGAAGATGGCAGTTCCTACAGAGGTCCAAGGGTGCCAGGTGGGAAACCTCGTCACGGCAACCCAGGCTCCCCACGGCTACTAGCTGCTCTGTCGGGCCAGTATTGGTGCTATCTTCCTTCGGTGGAAATTACTTGATCTACTCGTTGGGCGAATCCTTTTCTGGAACTTTCCAGATTCCTCTCTAGTTCACAATCTGTTATCTGGCTTTGTTCATTAGGGTTTAGTCATACCAAGGCTATTATAATTTCAAATGGCGGTCTTGCCTTTTCTGGCCACGCATAGGCTGGAAGGCTTGCTACAGATTTTTAGAACATGGATTTTGAATTGGTGACAGGTTAAGGGCGCTGTCAATTTAGACATTTAAGATTACAATCCCATAGGGATAACTGTTTCTCAGCTCTGGTGCTTCACGCTCGGAAATGCATTTGAAATCGCTTTAGTTTGCTACCTTTTTACTGTGCTTAGGGTCTTGTTAGACACTCCTAAAAGAATCCTAAAATTTTTAGGACGAGTCCTAAAGGTTTTTTAGGATTTCATGCGGCGTCGTTACACGCAGTCCTAAAAATCATCTTTTAGGACTCGTCCTAAAAGGTTCCCCGCGGCCCGTTTTCATACGCGTATACGCAGCCGCGCCGCCGATGTCCGTCCATTCCTCGGCGGTGTCCGTGGTACAGAATGCGGTGGGTCTTGGGCGGGAAAAGCGCGGTTCCCCAGAACTTCAAATTTTTGAATTCGAATTCTTGCGGACGCGTGCGCCGTGAAAAAGAAGGCGCCTCCCTGCCGACGCGTGTGACCTGAAAAAGACGGCGCCTCCCTGCCGTTCGCCACGCGGAATCCATCTTTTGAGTGTACGCAACTTGCGAGGAGCATGCGCATGATCGTGTGAGCTGCACATTCGCGTCCGGCGTGCGTACCATCCTTTAGAATCGTGGAGCAGCGGACGCGTGTTCATCTCCTGTGCCACGGTACAACAGCGTTGGCATCTTGGACTCCGGCGTGCTTTGTCTACGACGGCAGGGTTCCGCGGCGGGCGTGTCTGAGGCGGCTGTCGAAGGCGTGACCTGGCAAACCGTGCGAGGATTGGCAGAGATGGACAGTCACGGCTCCTCAAACGGTCTACGCGAAGAAGAGATCGATGCCGTGGCGATGGCAGTGACTGCCGTCGTCGTGAACACGATGGCGGACAAGGAGTTCTCGGCGCGCGACATGCTGATGCGGCTCCGACAACAAAGAGCGCTGTTGCAGAGCGTTGCAGAGGCGCCGGATTGCGCGGCGATGTGTGAGGCAGTCGTCCAGTTGTGTGCCGCGCTGACGTTTGGCGTTTTCCCGCGGCAGACTCCGTGATGGTGGATTAAGCGACGGACTGGCGGGACATGGGAGGACCTCCGGCTTCGGGACGGCGCGACGGACGAGTACTTCCGGCAGAAGCTGCTCATGTCGACGACCATGTTCAACCACATCGTTGCCGCGTGCACCGCGTACATGGAGAAGAAGGTGACGCACTATCGAATGCCATTGCCAGTGGAGCAGCTGATTGTTTTCGCGTTATACAAGTGGGCGTCCGGAGAGACGTACGAGAGCGACACGTCAACATTTGGCATCGACAGGGCAATTGGACTGCAGGCCGTCCGCGACGTAACCTCGGTGCTGCTGCAGGCGTACCCCGACGCGATAAACTGGCCAATGGGCAGGAGATGTGCGCAGATTCTACGCGCTTTCCGTGAGAAGGGTTTCCCAAACTGCTTCGGCGCTATCGACTGTACACACATCTACATTGACAAGCCCGCCGGTGCACCTTCCGCGAACTACTACGACCGCAAACAAAAGTTCTCCGTGCAGGCGCAGGTGGTTGTGGACTTGGATTTGCGGATCCTCGATGTCCACGTGGGATACCCTGGAAGTGTGCACGACATCCGTGTCCTGCACAATTCCCAGTTGTTTAGGCGTGCAGAAAGTGGCGAACTGTTTGACGCAACTCCGGAGAATCTGTCGCATGGTGTCGTCACGCGAGGCTACCTGCTGGGCGACAGCGGTTATCCAGTTGCCTGTCCGTGGATTTTGTCGCCATACAGAGGAATCGACCAAGGTGCTGACGAGGAGCGCTTCGACACGCGGCAAAAGGTGGCACGGGGGTGTGTGGAGAGGGCATTCGACCGACTGAAGTGCATGTGGCGTCTGTTCTTGCGCACCCATAAGACGAACCTAGAGACCTTGCCACAACAATTTGTGGCTATCTGCACTCTCCACAATATCCTCCTGAACGCGGGGATGGACTTCGACGAGAACCTTCTGTGGGAGGTGGATGCGAACGGCGTTCGGCGTAGAGCGGACTTGGGCATTGTGGGGAACGGCGCACGCGGGCGGGGACGGTGCACAAACGTGGAAGGTGAATTTTTGTGGGATGCACTGTGAGACCGCCTAGCTTTGATGTAGGACCGTGAGGTAGGGAGGTGGTGCAGACGGGGTGGTTCGATCGGTAGGCGGCAGGAATTATTACGTGGTCCATGTCCATGGTCGTCGTGCGCGTGGTTTGTTGGTCGTTCGATCGGCGTCGTGATTGTCGTCGACGAGTTCACATTATCGTTTTCATGTTGTTGATGGCTACCTGGTTCGCACAGTTGTGCGAAGTTCAAAGATTGGAAGAACCTTTTTTTTTGGCAATGTGTGTCGTCATCGTTGGGACTTTTTGTCTTTTATATATTGTTCCTAACTTGAAATCGTTTGTGATGAATGGTGTCGCGCGATGGGAAACATCAGTGCGCCATGGTGTTCCATGACATCAGAGATGGACTCGAATGCGTGATGACGCGCGTCCATCCGGAACTTGAAGTTGTGCTCCTTCCTCTCTTCGTTCGTCGGCCTGAAAACATCTGGCCGCCCGCAGGCATTCTGAAACCTCTAAATTTTCTTGTAGTTCTGGAACAGATTGTCCCACTTCTTCATGCAGCCGTCAGCGTCCTTCAGCCTCCCCGCATTCGCCATCCGCTTCGACATGTCCTCCCACTTCCATTCTTTCGTCTTCATCCACCCGTAATTGTGAGACAAGCCAGCGATGTGCATATCTTGCTCCCGCTTGCATCGCACCAGGAGCATTTGGTCTTCTGCAGACCAGTACGTCGGAGACTTCCCGGCGCCGTCACTTATGCCACCTCTGCCTCCACGGCCAACGGATCGACCACGGACACCACCTCTACCGCGTCCTCTCCCCCTCCCAGCCGTCTTCCCCAAAGGCAGAATTGGAACGTCGTCGTCGTCGTCCCCCGCTTCCATGTCTTCCCTCATGCCTTCGTCTGTGTCGTCACCGAATCCAACGTCCTCTTCGCCTCCATCGTTGTGTGCCCGCATGTTCGACACTCCACGTGTTATGTTGTCCACAGTGGGTCGTGGACGTACCGGCGCTCTACACGTTCCCTCCTCCCTCACTCTGGATTCGATCGGTGTCGTGCACGCAGGCATCACCGAACGTGCACCGCCCCTGCGCAGGGGCCCTGCTGCCACCCCGGGGGTGCGGGCCAGGTCGGTGTCAATCGATCGACGGACGGAGCAGTCGATCCATGCTGCCATCCCGCTGGCGATGGCCCGACTGCGCCAGTCAGGGGTGCAGCGCAACGAAGTGTGGACTGCTCCATATGCAGACTTCCACCATGCTCAACGCCACGTGCCGAACGATCTCCGTCGATGATGAACGTACGGCTCGCCTCCCTGCCGCTGCCAGAACACAACCCGAACCTCAGATCAACTCCTCCGCCGTCGTCGTCCCGCAAGCCTTGATGCAGCAATGATGTGAACTCGCCCCCTTCGTCGGGGGCCGACCCGCCTGCACGCACCATCTGCGACCACAACTGAGTCGAGCCGCTAGCGAGAGGCAACGTCGAAAGTTCTTCCTTCTTCGGCTCCTCGTCCGACGGGGGCAATGGCGTGTCCCACGACTCCAGATGGGTGTACATGGACGGGTCGTACCGCCTTCGAGGCTCCGCCGCAGAAGATCGAACTCCTCCCTGACCTGCGGCAGCAGCCGGTCGTGCCTGCATGCCCGCCATTAGACGTTCGCCTGCCGCCCGTCTCGTCGAAGCCCTCCTCTTGCATTGTTGTTTCCACGACCGCCAAGAAAAACACACGTGGAGGAAGACGACAATCAGGAAGACGACGACAGCGAGTACCAGCAGAGGCAATCTCCTCCGCACGTCAGCCATGAAATTCACCTCTGCAGCCGCCCTCGCACGTGACCACTGCAGATCTGTGTTCCGACATGCCCGGGACAGGGGCGCTCGACCTTCATATGAGGACAACCACCACAGAAGACGACGAACACGCCCGGTTTCCGTTTGAAATTCGACCGTTGCAATCCGCGCTGCCCAAAGCGGCTCCGTTTGCCGTCCTGCGCACGTCGACGTCCCGTTCCGCATCTCGCCCGCGACCCAACTGTCCAGTACGGGCAACCACCCGCCGACGCTCGGTCCTCCGCGCTCCACCCCCTCTGCCAACGGCTACCGTGCATGGCCGTTGCCCGCGTCAAGCCGCAGAAAACCTCCGATGTCCGACCACCGACTCGACGGACCACTTCTGGACCACCGACTCGACGGACCACTTCTGGACCACCAACGACTGTCGATGGTGCCATGCACGCGACGCAACGACTCCGTGAAACACGGGAATCCTAAATTTTTCAGTAGGTCGGGGGCTACTGGAAAATTTAGGACGATGTTGCCTGGGGAATCCTAAATCTTTTAGGACTCGTCGTAATGCCGTTTTCACATTTTCGATCTCCGATTTCATTTTAGGACTGTGTGCAACGAGGACGCAATCCTAAAAACAGGCATTTTTAGGAGTGTCTAACGAGACCCTTATTGGGAATTTTTTTGAGAAGCTTCTTTGAGACAACAGAGTCCGGGTTAAATTGTGAGGTCCCCGGCCTCTTTTGAACTTCTTTTATTTGAAATAAGGGTGACCAACTTCTCAAAAAAAGAAAAAAAAGAAATGCAGACTGATGAGTTCTTTAAAATTTTGTTCTTCTTGTTTTGAAAGAGCCACGCCCTAAATAGAAGAAAAATTATCTTTTTTTCTAACCTGCTGGCCCTTGACAATAATTCGGAATTGTCACTTTTTTTTTTTTTTTTTCCATAT